GAGGAAGTATCCAATAGTGAGTAAGCTAGACCACGGACTTTAACCGGGTACTATAGCCGATAGAAAAATAGTGCATTATGGATACAAGGTCATAAGCTGAGTTACCGCCTAGCTAAGGCTCAGACTATCAGACTCAAGTCTGCTATATCAGTCTACAAGGAGCTGACCGTCCGAAATGACGTCGGAAAAAGTTCTACTGCCCAACAACATCCGAAATCTCGCAAGTCTATGGCAACACTAGTCTAAGCCTAGACTAAGGCCAAATATACTTCAAATCAATATTATCATATACACCACAAGATATGGATATTCAATAATATTAAGAGACATGCTGTCATAATCCAACACTTTCCCGAAATAAGGTCTAAGGCAGGAATTATAGAAATTTAGCATGCTCGACACCCGAACCCCTCCATACTCAAGCAAATCAATAACAATTGCCTAAACATGCTCAATCTCACGAGAGAAAGCCATAGCCTACCTGAAAGCCGATCACGCGTGCTCCGACTCACGGTACCGGATCTTTTCCTCTTCGAACGGTCTCCAAATGCTTCCCCACTAACAACAGGTTAATCACCTCGTCATTACTAATATATTGACACTAAAATTATATTTTTCGGAGACGGACCCAAGATCGGGTCTAAAACGGGATTGTGGGGCCCACACTTAGAATCTCAAAATCGAATCCGTGGAAACGTCCCAACTACCTTACTAAACTAATATCCCAAAATTTTAGCACAAACAGATGCCTACAACACCGCAAATCAGCCACAATAATTAAAAAGGGCAGCCCCTTGATCACCAATTTTCGGAAAAACGAAACCCTTTCAACCCAAACAGATTATACCTCGACGATCCTTGCGAAAAACTCTACAAGTTAGCCCCAAGAATGACTCAAAACGGACTTACGATTATCAAGATCTCACATTTCAAAATTCAACAACAATACAATCCGGAAATCACCCTGGCAGTGGCTAAAATCAATTCCTTACCTCAAACGAAGCCTCCCCTCGCGTTTCTGAGATCACTGCTAGATTCCCCTCGAAATTCTCTTGAAGTTTGCCTTTTGAATCACTTAATTTGGACTCAAAATGAAGGAGCAATCTGATGTTGAAGTTGAAGGAAAAAAAAATGGACGAAGTTCGTCCTAAATTCTGGAAATTTCCAGATTTCCACTCCTCTGCCACGTGGCGTCGCGTGGCTCTGCCACGTCACCACCGCGTTAGAATTCAACAACTCTTCAAACTTAAATTTCGATGTTTCAGACTCGTTCGGAGTCGGAAAAATACAAACCTTATATGGAATTTGATTGGAAACGATATTTCGGACTCAACGGTGAAGGCGGAATTTCCATTTGGAGATTGCTACGATGAAAAGTGGGTCCCACACCCAGAATCATTTGAGCCAAATTCCACAACTGCCATCTAAAGCCTCGGGAAGTGAACAAAGGGTCGTTCTAGACCAAAATTGATCTTCTGAAGCTAACCTAGCTGTCAGAATTTTCATCTGAGCATGTCTTTCAAGAAGGTTGACCAAAGTCAACTTTTCAAGTTATAAAAATGACCTGAAGGGTCATTACACTAGTAGTAAAAGGTTGCCACTTATATGTATAATATACCTATTGTTGGATTTGATACAGAGTGCTCCAGTCATAGAACATTGTGATTTATGTATCAAGATTAATGATACATTATATGACATGATTAATGTAAATGATACATTAGGTAGTGTTTATGTATTTGTTAACATGAATTTTATTTATATATTTAGCGATAATAATTTTATTGCCACTAATTTAAATTTTAGAGTCAACTATTAGTGACAATTAAAGTTAAGCACTAAAAAGATCCATATAATTGAAATTAGTAAAAATACAAAAGACTCAAAGGTTTCTTCCCATTTTTTCATATCCAAAGATTTCCTTTCGTTGTAATAATCCTATACTATTCTTATTCATATCTAATTAGTCAACTTATTATTTATGGATTACGATTAGAGTAGATCTTTTCCAAATCAAAGTCTTATTTAAATAGGCTAATTATAGAGATATTTGACAGATAATTGATTTGCTTACCATAATGAAAAATGGTCAGTCCGATGACACATCACATAAAAGGAAGGAAAATCATGTGTATGAGATTTCAAATTAATGTATCCAGAAAAGGAAATGATGGAAGTAAAAGAAGGGATTTTTGATATTTTTTGAAATGTTAGGGAAAATAAGAAAATATGATAATAAATGTTGTGTAATTAGGTAATTTTTTCATAAATCAATCCATGTTTAGAAAGATACAACCTACTTTATGATATTTGCCATTTTAGAGCTAACCTTCCCTAAATTAAAACTTTGTTTTCATGTTGCCCAAAAGATTAAGCTGATATCTTTCTTCAGCATCGTCTCGTAATTGATTTTGTTGATAAAATATGAATGTTTGTTGCCCTTTAAAAAAATTAAAAAAATACATGTGATAAGACAAAAAAATCTTTCAATCTCAACAATAAGAAAACAAAGAGTTGAATGTGGAAGATAAAGAAATCTCTCAATTCTGAAAAACTTATGGGGGGTTATCTCTTAGGAGGTCATTGAATTCCCAGAAAAGAAACGGTTCTTTATTAAATAAAAGTAATAACTTTTGGTCTTTTTTTCTCCTTTTTTTTGTAAAAATAAATTCAAATTAAGAGATTTTTTTTTAGAGAAGGGCAAAATGGTAATCCAACTTTGAAGTTAGAAGCTTCCCACTTATGATAATACTCCCTCTGTCCCTAATTACTTGTCTACTTTTAAATTGGCATACCTGTTAAGAAAACAATTATTGACATAGTAAGTTTACCATTTTACCCCTATTAATTATGAATTAGGATTTTAAAAAAGTTATACATTTTTCAAAGTAATTAATTGAGAGTATAATAGGTATTATTTAGTTATGTAGAGATTACAATACATGAATTATTAACTATTATATTAAACTTGTAGTAAATTATTAATATATATTATTTACAAAATAATAATACATGCTAATAAAATGTGGAATATATTGAATAATATACAATGCTAATATATATATATATTTAATCAACATTGGACCATGCCCATTTATTCATCAAATAAAAATGTGTCCAAACAAGGTCTAAGAGTGACCAAGTCGATCAACAAAACAACTAAACTGAAAAATAATCTAATTTGGAAACAGAAAAATCCTAAACTGGTAGAACAACTCCAGCATAATGCTAATATTTGATTAGCATATGTACCGTCAAAAAATATACAATCAAATCTCTAATATTAAAAAAATGTTTATATTTGCATAAATAAATAAAAACGGTAAATATATATAAAAAATGAAAATAGTATATATATAAAAAGAAATAAAAATAACAAACGTAGATA